CTCCTTCTCTCTCTCTCTCTCCCTCTCTCTCTCTCTCTCTCTCTCTCTCTCTCTCTCTCTCTCTCTCTCTCTCTCTCTCTCCCCCCCCCCCCAGTCTTCTATAGCCATCAGAGAAAAGGCGGGGGAAAATGAAGAGCACTTGGCACTAGATTGAATGTGGTGGCAAGAAGTCAAAAGTGCCCGAAGCTTTAAGCCCCGAGATAAGTGGAGATCTGAAGTGGCCATTAACAGAGCTGGGTATAAAGGGTGAAGGACACATTTGGGAGAGGCAATTTTGAGTGGGACTTGCCGAGCTCCTGGGACTGATGAGCCATCCGTGTGAAGATGGTCAGAAAACATCAGAAGCTCAGCAAAATTTGTTTTTTCGCACAGGAGGCAGGAAGCGCACGCCAACAGTAATGATCTTGCTAGGTGCTTAAGGACAAGTGCCTTCGCGGCCGGCCATGGTTAGCTCTCCTTACCTCCAGCATAGCAGTTAATACAGCAAGTTCCCGCCGCAGCTCCGTGCTATGGCTGTGGCGGGAAAAGGTTCCAAAACCAAATTTCAAAAAGTCCTTTCCCCTCATCTAGGAACTTAAAGTCTTCTACTTCACACTTAGGGAATTAAAAAAAAAAAAAAAAGCAAGTCTTGCATGAACAAGAGCATTGGCCCTCTTTCGCTGCCTAGCTGATTGTCATGAACTAACTGCAGGCCAAGTCCTGGGGTTACAATGTTGAGGGCCCTATTTTATTATTGACTGCTAAGCTGGGACCGCTGCCAGCGACCACCCCCATTCTTTGCTATGTTACCTGTTCTCCATTTAGGCACAAACACTATTTCTACTTTGTTTGCTCCTTCTCACATTTTGAACATTTTTCTTCGGGGAGAACCCAGTGTACTTTCTTTACCTTGTCTGATTAGATCAGACCCAAGCTTGATGATCTCTATATTTGAAAAATCCTCTGGCGGGCTGTAGTGGCACCCACCTCTAATCCCAACACTTTGGAAGCCTAGCCAGGTGGATCTCTGTGAGTTTGAAGGCAGCCTGGTCTACAGAACAAGTTCCAGGACAGGCTCCAAAGCTACACAGAGAAACCCTGTCTTGGGAAAACCAAAAATAAAATTAAAATGAAAAATCTTTAGCTTCAGGTTGTAGTTACTCTTTTCAGAGGACTGGAGTATTGTAACTCAGTAGCTGAGGGCTTGCCTAGCATATGTGAGACTGTCCCACCCCCAGTACCTAAATAAATAAAATTTGGTCAATTTCTTCACTGTCGACTCTAGTTTAAATGTTTGGGTTAAATATGTGGGTTCAACAAGGACCACGTGCCTTTGTAAAGGGCGGCATTAGCCAACCCCACCTTCCACAGCAAGAGTGGGATCTCTAGTGGGAGCTTGGGAAGCCCTCCGGGCAGAGAAGTTACTCTACCTAAGGACCATTAGTCTAGTGGGCTCAAGACAAGGTTCCTCAAACAAGCCCATTTCCGTTTTGTTGTAAAAGAGGCAAACTCCAAATGGTTTATGTTTATCCGAGGATGCCAACACAAGCAAGTGCATGCAGCAAATCTATATTCTGGAGCAGCGGCCAGGCTGGCTTGGTTAGAGGAGGAGGTTCCTATGTTCCTTCTGTTGTTTGCAGCAGGAGGTGAGACCAGGTCTTTCTCTATAGCCCAGGTTGCCCTTGAAATCACTGTTACCCAGCCTCGGCTGGTGCCAGGCTCGTGGCAATCTTCGCCTTTTAACCTCTTGGGCGCTGAGATGACAGGTGTGAACCATCGCAGCAGCCCAGCGAGGGAGAGGCTCTCCACAGAGAGATAATGAAGTGAAGCCTCAGCTGGGAAAATCAAGAGTGGCAAGGTTGATTAAATGCAAGCTTTTGTGAGAGGTTGAGCCCAAGAGAGAAAGAGGTATAGAGTTCAAGGCCAACCTGGGAGGGGGAGCGGGGTAGGAGAAAGCAGAAGGAGAGAGGGGGAAAGCTAGTGAGCTCTCCTGGCGGATCTGTGAAATGGTAGCTTTATTGACTGGAGATGTGAAATGGTGTCTGAAAGTATTAGAAGATACAGTCGACATGTTTACATTTTCTGTGGGCTTGTCTATTTTTCTTCCTTCACTTCCTTTCTTGGACTATATAATCAAGACAACTCAAGGGCCTGATCTAAATTAGCTTGCAAGCCCAAGACACCTGTCTGGGACTAGTGTCCTCTGACTGAGGAATGGAATTGGATCCTGGGGACATTGTGTCCGCCACACTCCTCATCCAAGCAACGTTGTCACAGCAAGGGGTAACATGGAATCGTTTCCCAGCACAGATGAGTAGCAGGCTAGGCCATCGTATCCATAGCACAGTTAGCCAAGCATTCTTTCACCCCTGCCTCACCGGGACATCTTGGAGAAATGACCTCCTCACAGCCGAGGGCTCAACTCTCCCTGAGAGCAGGTCATTCAGGCACTCTCGTGAACGGAACCATAGGCAGCTCCCTGACTCTTATCAGAGATGGAAACAGTGTTTCTGATTTGCCCTGCCCTCTGCCCTTCTACAGTTTAGCAGTTGAAATTTCCTCGAGCTCAGGACGAGACTGGAAGTTCTCTGAGTAAGTCGCACCACCCTCCGCATCTGCTTAAGAAGACCCAATGGTTTTTAAAATTATACTTGATAAATGATCTTTTATGATGCTTGTGTCTTCATTTTTTTAAACATTTTTTCAGTGTGTATATTTGTGTGTGTCTGCAGGAGCATGGCTGAGATGTGTTGGGAGGGAGGAGAATTTGGGGGACTGAGGGATGACTATGATCAAAATACATTGGATATGTATGTGTATAATATTCTCAAAGAATAAATAAAAATATTACTTAACTGTTTTTAAAAAGTTTGCATTCTTCTATAAATTTTCAGTGGATCTATTTCCCAAGCCCAGATTTCAGTTCCAACAGCATTTTTCCAGGTCATAATGCAAGTGCAAAAACGTCTGTATTTCAAAATTTAATGTAACCGTACAGTTCAGGAACTTCTGCTCAAACTTGTACTGAAGGTTATTAACCTGCAATGCAGAGACATGCTGCGAAGTGAATGTCTTTGATTCTCTACCCTGAAGAAAAAAAATGAACACCAAGAGCACATATGAAGGCCCGAGAGATAGCTCAGTATTTGAGAGCCCTGGTGGCTCTTGTAGAGGCCCCTGGGTTCAATTCCCAACACCCACAAGGCAAGTTACAACCTTTAGGGTGGTCTGACTCGGCCATCAAAGGCTGGGCTCCAGAACAAAAATATAAAAGATAATGATTCTCTAAGACTTTCATTAATATTTTTCCTATGCTTAGGGCTAGGTGTGTAACAAGAGTACTTTCCTAA